AGCCCCCCCCCGGCGGCCGGAGCCGGCAGGAGCTCGGAGCCCCGACGGGAGCCCGCAGCGCCGGCAGGAGGCAGCAGCAGCCCCCGGCCCTCGCCCTCCCGGCGGGGTCTGGTTTTCCCCCTGCTGGTCTGGCCGCTCAGTGGCACATTTGCTGTCCCCCCCGGGCCTCCCCTCTGCCCAGGAGGGAAAGGACTAGGCTAGAGCCCGTCTGCAGGGAGCCCGGCACCAGCGCTGCGGGTGTCACTGCTCAGCCCAGTGGCCCTCGCTGGAGCTATCGGGAAGGGAGATCGTGTTTCAAGGCTCGGATTAGGCTGGAAGATTAAATTGTGGCAGCAGCTGCTTCCCAAGGGAACACAGAAAAAAAAATATAAATCATTAATAATGGCCACAAAGAAACAAGAAACTCTTATTGGGTTACACTTTGCATACACCTAGGTCAGAAGGGCACAAGAGATGGAGGAGAGCTCATCACAACCCTCCGACGGCCACGGCACCGCTCAACGTGAAAAGGAAGGACTCTTGGATGTCCATATTGGCATCCTACAGGAACTTGCTCTCTCTCATAGTCTGAGATATGTCCAACCAACCCCAATCCTCCCTCCCCCCACAAAATAAAGCCACAAAACACTGACACTAGAATTGTAAAACTCTTACGAACTCCAGAGAGGGGGTAAATTACATGTTCCCATGCAACTCTGTTTCTGAAATGGAGAACTGATACTCTCACATGATACTGAGAGCTGGGGCTTCAAGGAAACCAACAAATATTCTAAGAATTATCTACACCTCATCCTACTCTACATCAGCACATGGAGGTCTTTGCTAAGACACAGATCAGACAGGACAGCCAGCAAAATACTTGAAATGGGGTCGGCAAGATTGTACGAGCTCCAAGGCTGCTTTACAGCATAACAGGCTTCCTTACAAAGGTTTTGACAAGCCTAGCCCTTACAGCCTTAAGTGATGGGAAAATTGCCCACATTGTTTTTCAAAGCTGCCTGATTAAATAATATGCCCTTTTTTTTTAAGCCACTGTCAGATTCCAAGTCAAAAGTGACATAAGTGATGCTGTGAACACTGGATTCTGGTCTGCAGGGTCAGTCTAACCTTTGAGCTGACAGTATATACATTTGGACCCAGAGAGCAGTTTCCAGAGCTTGCACATGATTACAAAAGTAAAACACCACTCATCCCTCACATCACTCCTTGCATGGGACTGTGCCTCTTCTCCAACACAGATGACTTGATATGCTCAAACACTTTGAACCATGCTGCTGCTAAAATGGGTGCTCAGCACAACCAAAGATTTCACATCCTCCTGGAAAGCTTACAGGCCACACACTGCCTGGTACAGCTAATGGGTCACATGCACAGTTCAGCAAACTTGGGACATTGTACCACAAGAGGTTCTGCTCCCTCACTTGCTCAGAACCAGTCTGGTTCAGGTCTTAACCAACAGAGAGAACAATATAGCCATCACCACCTACTTTTAAAATAGTTTATTTCTGATCTTAAAATATACATAAGTTTGAAAATTTCAGAAAAAACCCCACATTAGTTACAGATTAACAGTCTGGAGCTGGGACACTGAAAGTGGGGTTAGCTCAAGGTCCCAGAGCGAATACTGCTGGAGGTGAGCAGGAGTGCAGAGGGCAGGCACTGTGCCCACCAGGAGAGGACTCTGCTCTTCTTGATTCCATTGCTCCCCCTCAACTTCTGCTGACAGCCTAATACTATGAAGAAAAAGTGTCTGGTGAGGCACTGGGCACCCCTTTGCCACCCCTCCATTTCTCCTCTGTTTTGCATTTAAGTTTGCCTTGACCAAAAGCAGAGGGAGGCTGGTTCTTCCCAGCACCAGCAGCACCAGCTGCTTCAGCATGAGTAGGTTTTGTCCCCTGACTAGCATGCCAGGATTCAGGGAAGATGGGGTAGAGCCTGAAGGGGCAACGCCTCCCCCACTGCCCAAGTGGCTGTGTTGTCCCACAGGCAGGCCACCAGCAGACTCAGAGCCAGAGGAGCTCACTCAGTGAGCCCCTGAACTCAAGTGCTGTCTGTGAGGCAAGAGCTGGCAGCCCCTGTAGGGGCAAGCCCTCAGCAACACAGCAGAACTGAAGAAATGCAGCAATGCAGCAGCTGAAGAAAGCAAATGCAAGGACCCCACCACCACCTTCAAGACGGAAGATAAACACCCTGCAGGCTCAGAGGAGGCTCCTGATCTCAGCACCAGCCTGTTTGCACAGGTATCAAGCAAAATACTGCAGTGAAATACTGAGTCCCACCTCTCCACCAGAGGGTGGCATCCAGCTCCACAACTGTTTGAGGTGTGAAACAAGGAGATCATGTAGGCAGCAGCTCTAGCCAGGGCACAAAAACCAACCTACACAGCTACCAGAGAGGCCTGCAGCTCCCTTTCACAGGCTTTGGAGCCTCCAGGCTCGAGCTGATGCCCTTGCTGGCCCCAGCTGCAAGCTGCAGGCCCTCTGCAGAAACAGGGGTTTGGGGAGGGGAGCAGAGACCCCAGGCAGCTTCTTGGCTGCATATCTTGCTGTAAGCATATGACCAGGAGTTCCCCTCCTGGACAGAAGTTTGCTCTCCTACAGCCCAGTTAAGAGCCCTCACTGACTAGGGTGGGAGAACAACACAAACCAAACTCAAAAACCAGATAGCAGGCTGAGGACAGCCAGTGGGATCTGAGGGGGGCACAGTGCAGGAAACTAGGCTATTCTCTGCCTCACACCCTTGGGGGAGCCAAAAAACACCGGACAGACAAGGACACAAGACAAAATTAAAACAGGAGGCCTGGGCTCTGTAAGCCCTCAAAAAAACCTAAAAACCTACATCTACAAACCTCTCCCCTTCCCTCCCTCCTCCCCCCCACAAGACACTGAGCGCACAAGACTGAGAAGAAAAGTTACACAGTATGACGCTACACTAGGAAAAACAGGCAAAGAGACTCTACCCACAAGGGGAGGCTCTGGAGAGGGACTAGAGCCAGCCTGGAGCCCCCTGGAGAAGGGAGTGTTCAAGACCCTAGCAAAGGGCTGCTGTCAAGCTGTGAGGTACTGCATCCATCGGCAGCAGCTCCTCAGCATGCTGCCCTGGCATCTCTGTCAGCCCTGCACCAAGCCCTGCCCACAAAAGCCCAGTAGCATCCTTCACACCTTGCTCACCCAGGGCAAGACCTTGTTCTTGAGTCTGGAGGGGTTTCTGCAGGCTGGAGGCCAAGATCAGAGGGAAGCACAGCTCTGAGAGCTGAACCTCCTCAACACACCCTCGGAGCAGGCATCGGACCAGCTGCCAACGGCTGTGTCTGTTTATGCAGGGCGGGGAGAAAGAAAAAACAATACACCCCAAAACCAAAGGCTTGGAAAGAAGAAAGAAGCCCACCCAAGAGCAAAGCATCAGCACCGTGCAAACAAAACAACAGCACAGAGAGTGGGGGAAGAGGTGTGAGGGAGGAGACACACAAACCCCAGTGCCTAGCAGGCAGTGCCTCCCTGAACCACCACAGCAGCCACACACCCGTGCCCCACACCACAGCACCAGCATCTGTGTGTTGCCTCAGCAGGGGCTGAGGCCAACACAGGAGCCAAGTGATGGGGGCCTGCAGAGGCAGATTCTGGAAAACCACCCAGAGGGCAGCTGGGGAAAACAAAAGCCAGCAGGAAAATGAGACACCAGCAAGCCTAGCACACCCCCAGGGGCATAGGACCATCCACTGGGAGAGTCCTCGTGCCCCACTCATGGCCCTTAGGGGCTCCCAGGGAATCAGACACCACCACACAGGCACTCTGCCCTGTTGGCACAAATTAAAGGAGAGAGAGCAGCTGTGGACAACCAGCATGAGAGCACCCAGGGCCTCAAGGTACCTGAGTGGGACGGGGGAAGGAAGATGCAAGCATAAAGAGGCACAGGCACCAGGACGAGTGGTACCAAAAACGAGCTCTGGTACAGGCACGAGTGTGAGGCTGTGAAGAGAGCTGTGAGTGTGCAGGGCAGTGAGTGCGCTTGTGCACACTGTGTGTGCTAGTACTGTGGGTCTGAGGTGCTGGGGAAGAGGGACCCCAGCTCTTCTAGGTAGCAAAAGAGAATAAATATAAAATTTCAGATCAGAGGCCCCTCTAGGAAGAGGGTACTAAGAATATTTCTCCCTCAGAAGGTGGACAAATGGAGGTATCCCCACAGCTCTGCAGCATGTCGCTGCTTCTTCCCCTGCCTCAGCTAAGAAGGTTGCCCTGCTCCTGGGCTTGCGTCAGACTGTCCTTGCGATGTAAGTGGTGGACCCCCATCCTCTTGGGGCTGCGGTGCGGTCGACTGGAGGGAGGCTTGACCCTACCTTCTCTGCTTTCTTCTTGGGCACCTCCTTGGTTGCTCTCCTTGCTTCCCTGGAGCAACATTTCTCTCTCCTCAGCTGGGCTCTCAGGCAAGCCAAGGTCTACACAGTCCTTGTGCTTCTCTGGTGAGGGGCTTCCAGGTTCAGC